CTTTTTCTGAACAGATCATCTTCAGGGACCAATGAGCTCCAGCGTGCACCCCATGTGCATGCAATCACTTTTCAGATAGAGCTCAAGTGCATGGCGCAATCCAAAATAAAGCATTTTTACCATTTTAGAGTATAAACTTGTAGAGCTCGATTCGCTTAATTCATATTTTTTCTTCTCGATTACTCTATTTTGAAGCGATTTATAAGGAAAAGACGAAAAAGACGCGAATTCGTGGTATTCCCGTGAATTTTTGAGTTATTTCGACGAGTACGTGCGCTACGAAACCTGCCGAAATACGAGAAAAATGACTGCTGATTTGTTTGTATGTTCTACTCCCATGGGAAGAGTCCACCCCTAGTAAATATAATTGTATCCAGATGAAAAGCCCTATAAGCTACCTGACGAGAAGAAGCCGGAGAAAAAACGAATGCCGCGCGCTACTTGCACGCGCGGCGCTTCGACAAACCTTTTCTTAATTGAAGGGTGTTCAGCGTCGAAGAAATGTTGAGACCCTAAAGTATACTTATATTTTTTATATTTTGAGTGCTGAAGCCGCTGAGAAGAGTCAGATCGCCTCTCATGGCCATTTTCCTTTTTTGATGATAGTTTTTGCTAGAAACTCTACCATCAGAGCGATATCACAAATTTTGATGGAAAAAGTACAAAATGTAATCAACTCTTTAAGAAGGATACCTCTAGAGGGAGGCAGCTAAGGGACAAAGATGTTTTTGGGGATACGATTTGAGAACTCTGGCGCACCTGCTCACGAATGCAAAAAGATAAGACTAGTGCTGAGAGAGTGTTCGCAACTTTATCCCAGCTTCCAATTCTCCTGCGAATGTCTCACAAGGTTGGCGATTTGTGGGCAAAACTCCAGTCTCGGACGGGACTTGAACCCGTACTTGTCCTTTCCGCTCGAGAAACTCTGCGAGCCGCCGTCGATGAGTAGCCGAAGCATTTTTGAGCTATAATTAGTACTGGAGGTAGTTGTACAAGATGACCGTGTGTTCATTTTGTAGATGTGATTATAGCAAGTAACTCACATAAATTCACCATGTATCAATATAAACCCGGGTTTTGTAGTCCAACTCTTTTGTTACCATATTTATGGCTCACCCTGTACATATATGCATATTGAAGGCACAATTTATGATGAAAATGGTTTCTGAGTTCTCCCTCTAAGTATACCCAGCAGCCACCAAAGGTAATAGGAAGTAAGCTGTTGAGTCCGAATACTAAACAGCTAAGGCATAGTGGGAGCCCGGATGCCCTGCCCCTCTACCGATGTCACGTCAGACGAGTGTCAGGCGATATAGATTGCAATATTCGTTCTATTATAGTAACCACACACAAGCAGCTGATCGCCGAGTAGTGAGGCGATGCTTTTCTCTATTCTTTTAATCTCTTTTATATTTTTTGCTGCTGCAATCCTTTTTCTAATATTCTGCTCAAGAGGCTGAAAAAGGTGGGTCAAGTTGCTGTTACTAGGGTTTTTGTTAACTTCTGCTTATGAGTGAATGCATTTCTAGGGACATTTGCGCTCACTGTAGTCCTATTCACACCAGGACTCACACGTACGCCATTACACACATTGTCTAGTTCGTCCAAACACCCGTTCTTTATTTTTCGGGTCCTCCTCTCTTTCAGCCCCCACCTTTCTCTCTCAGCCCCCGCCTTTCTCTCTCAGCCGCCCCCCTTTTTTGAATCGCACGCTTTCTTCCCCTTCACCGCACTCTTTCCACATTATCTTCCATTTTTCGTCATATCTGGACCACCCAATTTGTTGTGGACTGTGCCTTTGTGCACTTTTGTGGTTTATAGGCTGCATTGGTAGAGCTCTCGGCTGGTTTTGTATTTTTAAAACTCATTTTGTGAGCTTTGCAAACATTTTCATAAGCCTTCAATTTTGCAATAATGTATAAACTAAGTGGATCATTCGGCGCCTGATCATGGCACAGCAGACGGGAAAGAGTCTGTAGTCTGTTAATGCGCCTAAGGTCACCTACGAAGTGATTGGATAAGCTGCGATATTGATTGCATTATTTTTTTACCAATATAATGTAGATCGAATGTGGTTGCAACATACATCAAATGGACTGCAAGGTTTACGAACAGGGATGAAAACCCAAATCGTGTTTTGCAAAGTATAGTATTTAGGCTCACCTGTCGTCGTAGTAGACGGTGACGTCGTCACCACAGTTGAAATCAGTACTGTAGTGGTAGTAGTTTGCTTGGTGGTTATAGAAGGTGGTAACGTTGTGGTTGGGTTCGATACTGTAGGAGTTCCTGATGGCGTTGTTGTCTGCGATGTGCTCACAGTGGTGGTGGTCACTGGTACTGTGGTCGTTGGGGACGGTGATGCTGTTGTTGAAGTCGGTACTGTAGTGGCGGTAGTGGTTGTTGGGTTCGGGGTGGTGGTCACTGGTATTGTGGTCGTTGGAGACGGTGATGCGGTTGTTGAAGTCGTTATTGCAGTGGCGGTAGTGGTTGTTGGGTTCGTGGTGGTAGTCAAGGGTATTGTGGTCGTTGGAGACGGTGATGCTGTTGTTGAGATCGTTATTGTAGTGGCAGTAGTGGTTGTTGGGTTCGTGGTGGTGGTCACTGGTATTGTAGTCGTTGGAGACGGTGATGCGGTTGTTGTAGTCGGTATTATAGTGGTAGTAGATTGCTTGGTGGTTGTAGAAGGTAGTAACGTTGTTGTTGGTTTTGGTACCGGAGGGGTTACTGATGGTATCGTTGTCTTGATCACGGTGACAGTACTCATTGGCAAGGTGGTCGTTGGAGAGGGTGGTGCGGTCGTCGAAGCCTGTATCGTGGTGGTACTAGATGGCTCTGTGGATGTAAAAGATGCTAAAGTGTCTGCTGAGGTAGATCTCGTAGAAATCTTTGCCGGCGGAGAAGTCTGCCACGTGCTCCTAACGGAGGTGCGTATCCTTGAAGGGGACGTTGGAGAAGGCGGAGCAGTTGTTAGCGGTGTCGATGCTAAACATATAATCTTACGTTATGCATGTGCTTCCAGGAAGAACGTTCCATAGCAATAACTTGCACTCGAAAGATATCAGATGGATCACCAGAAGGTTGGTACTCTCTGAGTAAACACCTTGTTCAATTGTTGCGACGAATGAGTTGGGTGGGATAGGAGTTTACAGTGCACTTATTGCCACCGAACAAAGCTGTCTAACTGAAGGGTATGATCATGATGTTTGAGTGAGTTACACTTGCAGGAACTAGTACTAGCTTTGCTTGAGCCATTTCACCAGTCTCTGGGATAAGTGCCTATAGCGAGTGATATCGACTGCGAAACACGTTTTTGATGCGATGATTGACATTTTGGACCATGCCGAAGAGGCCTCCTGGTGATGGTCTACTCGGCTGCGTTTTCTGAGAAGACGTTTGGCGGAATCGAGTTGAGTCCATGTAGGCCCGAAAGTTTTTAGTTGACCGGTGCTTGATTGAGAACTTGAGCTTTTTAATGCACACGGCTGTTAGGAATTGTATTCTTCAGGTGACTGTTCTCCAATTAATTGGAACTATGTACTACGGAATGCACCACCGAACTGTGCATCAACGAAAGAACATAGACGGCCAGGAGTAGACAATAAGAACTCCCTTTCCGTCGCTAAGCGTCGCGCAAGGTTGGAATTGGAGGTGTGCAAAACTACCGGTTCCTATTCCACACCTCAATACCACTGCTAATTGTGTTTTCAACTGCATCTCAGCATACAAGAGCTCCGCGCATGGGAAGCGATCATCGCTAGGCATTCGAAGTCAAATTCCGGTGAGGTCAGGAAGGAGGTATTTTGCTTATTGTACGCCAACGTTACTTTCTACGGTCGATCTGACACTCCGGCCATTTAGATCGAGGTAAGCCTCTTGTATACCGAGTCTAGGAGGTCTCCTAGTCTAGAGAACTGTCTAGGTTTAGCTTGCCTTATCATAGAATCTATTTCAATGACTGTTCGACTTTAGGCTCTAACGAAGACAAGCTAGCCGAAAGGTTAGTCTCATAAAGTTTGTAATCTTGGAAAGGCTACCAAAACATACAGCAGAGAAATCAATGTTTTTTTGAAGAATTTAGCGATAAGCATTCATTAACGAACCGGTATTAACATCAACCAATATCAACTCTCACTGAAATATCTTCCTTCCGGGTTTGAGTTGTACTATGGCCCGCATCTTGTCGAAATTTTCAGCAAATTACAACTACACTCCCTCAAGTCATATGCGTAAAGATAGCTTGGTTTATTCCCCACTTATTCCAACTTGGCTGCCTCACTCATTGAGGTTATGCTCGTTTTGTTCACTCTCCAACACCCTTAAACCTCCGACCTATCCGCTTCCACATCTAAACACCCCAAGTCCAAGGGAGTGATTTTCGCGCACGCCCCGCCCCTTGAGTCCGCCTACCATTGGTGTTTTCTTTTTCATTTACGTATTTCTAACACATTTTTTTGGGTTTAAGCTTCAAGTGACCAGCACTTATGCTTTTACAATTGTACGTCAACACAAACCCACCGACCCCACCAACCAACAGACACATTTGAAGCGGTATATATAGTAGAATAAACTACTTCCGTATTTGCTAGAACTCTCGCTTCTTGAGAAGATTCTTTAAATTACCGGAAATCCCAGCCCAGCAAAAAGTTTCTGTTGAGTTGAAGTATGTTTGTGTTCATGGAAACCCCTGCCAAGGAGTTCTTTTTCCTTACTATGATCTCCCATCCATTAGCTATTTACCATTCAGACGAAAACGAACATAACCTGAATAATTTTTGTCGTGTGTCACGGTTGCTGTTATGACGACGGTCAACACAACAGCTATAGCAGTTCCAAGTATCAGTACAATGGAAAATGCGAGAATCATAGGAGTTGCCTTCGCCATTGTTAACAAACCTGGAAGCCAATACCGATTTCTTGAATACGGAAGGAACACCATGATCAAAGAGAAACATTGAGGAAAGTTCAGCGAACCAGATAGCTTTTGCAGTTCAGTCAGGCTTACTCTCTTCTACAGCCCCTTTATAAAATACACTGCTTTCGTTCAGCGATGTGAGTTAAAATATTTGGTTACGTTTGTTGTACAATTCAGTATTTAAGACAGTTGTTGAGCAATATTCTTTGATCAGCCTTAAATAGATGAAAGGGCTGGAAACATTCAATGTAGCGACTACTATATGCAAAGGGACAGGCTGCTTACATAGGAAGCGCCGCTCATAAGCCCTTTTTGCCGGTTGGAATTTGAAAGGTTTCCCGCAGACAATTTCGGAGAACAAAGAATTTAATTTGAAATGAAACTGAAATCCTTTCAAAACTTCCATCATTACGAGTAACAAGGATCTATCGTGTGTTGACTTAATTACCTGATGCCTTGCGACGCTAAGGACGATGAAGGAAGCCCAGCCACCCTTTGGCACTACTTTCGACCGAGCGGCTACGTTTGCTGCCCAAAACTTGATCGATTATTCTGAGCAAAGCGGCGTTGATAAGTGATGAGGCATAGAGTTTTCGCTGAAAAACCCTTTCTTCATGGGAGTTCATGAATGATGTTTAGGAGTCGTCAAAAGAAGAAGCTTGAGTTGCGCAAAATGAAAGTGTTTCCTACCTGATCTCTGATTGCTGATCTTTCAAACGATCATTGGAACCCAATGAAGGCTTTTTTCTTCCTAATCTAAAAATATTATTTATCTGTAAAATTCAGTGGAATGCTCGATGAGAGGTCAAGAGGAAGTGAAACAGAGTCAAAAAAGGGCGAGGCAGTATGGAACACAAGCATTCCGTACTGATAAGCTGTTGCACGGATGTTTCCGACAACGTACGTTTATCAGCACGTAAAGCTTTCCTAGGCGCAATAGTTTCCGTAATACGGCAAGATGAAACGAAATGTGGGCACACCTTCAACCAGGTGTTGCTCTCAACAGCCAGACCACCACTTTACTTGTCGAGCTGCCAGAATCTCGTTCGTGACTTCGCAATCCACAGCGAGGGTTCAGAATCAGTAAGCATCGTTTGTGATGAGGAATTTCATTGTGTTCCTTGTTAATTCTATTAAACTAATAAAGATTTTGAAACTGTTCAGCAAAATTTGTGATGAAGAGTGAAAAGTCGCACCATGGCTTATTCGATTTAAGGGATGGAGAATTCAACGAAGGCACAAATTTTGGTGGCTTGGGGCATACCCAGTAGAATAGTACTGCAACCGGGATAGTCTCGAGTACGTGTCCACAGCTTGTGTACTTCCATCTCTTCGCTTTCACGCCCTTCTCTGCTCAATCACCTCTTATTTATTTGTTTGTTTTGTGCAATACCATGTACAACAGTGAAATATATTCAAACAATGAACCTCAGTAGTAACGACAAGCATACATTCACGTAAGTGGAAAAAAGTCTGCTGGTACTAACAACAGACATCGTGATCTATTTCTTCTTTTAATGAGCATAGCCATGACCGAGGGATCATGACGGGACATAATAACAACAACAAGTAAAATAACTAAACCAGTGGCCACTGCATTTAGGGTTTATACTGAAGCATCTAATCAAGAAGGGATAGTTTACCTACCATGGAACTTAGAATGGAGACCCAGATCACCGGGAGAGTTTTGAATACAGTTTACGAATGTGAACGTCGAAATTGCAGAGTGGCTTTCGCTAAAATGTTTTAGCATGAAAAATCCTTTTGAAGATAGAGTTAGTTAGAAATGCGACGTCGACGCATCGAAATTAATCGTCGACGGCGCGTCGTGGAGGTGCTCTCGCTTCATAAGCGAAGAGCGCAAGTTCGCTCCCTGACATCGTCGTAGTTTTTACATAGACCTCTTCCACTAAAGAATTCTGAAACCTCCCCCGAAATTTGATCAAATTAACACCTTATTCATACTTCTATTTACGCTTGCCCTATATAAGCTGTATGACTCTATTTTAGTGGAAACTTTAAGAAACAGACGTCAGAGATATAGATGTCTACGAGGAACTCAACATGGATGAAAAGACCTGGGAAAAATGGTGAAGCCCACTCCCAATTGTTCGAAAACTACATACCTTATACATGCTTCATATCTACAACCAGGCACAACGAAGCGAGAGACCACCGCTAAGCCACGTCTATGTACCCTTGATATGAAAATAACAAATTTGCATTAACAACTATCATTACCGTTAAACGAATATCGAGCCCTATTGCTCTTTTGGGAAAGCCGTTTTGCCATATTTGTTTCCATATTCGTGAGCAGCACTTGAAACTCTATCGCCTCATCTGGGCCTCCATTCCAAGTTCCTTGTCAAGCAAACCACTCCTACCTCCACTGTGCGGAGCTTGGCTGCCTCGATGAAGCTTACAGGAACATTAACTAAGCCGTGGTTGACGCGGTACTGGATAGCTTAGATGATATTGCAGTAACGCATATCTGCAATATATGTAGTAGCGAACGAGTTGGTGTAAGATAAACATGACTGACCGAAGACTCGGGAACTGGTCTACAATAACCAAAGGAAGCTCTTCAGCAGAGTAGCACTGCTATTCTTATAATGTAAGGTCCTCTAATGAACATAGGTCTCTTGTCCGTATACCAATCCGAGAAACGTGTTATTCAAGAGAATTCGTAATAGGTCTAGGAATAGGTAGAACACGCACAGCGCCAGACTCGGTCCCCGAAGAATATTACGCTGTTGACTTTGGCGCAATCCCTTTGCATTTTGTCACATAATAACGACAGTTTAATGGATCACCACTTCCTTGTGTGGATCTGAGATAGAAATGGAATATGCGCTATTGCTCAAAGATTCGTACATCTCGTCGGGTAAGTCGACCTAAGACTGACACAAAAGGCTAAGTGCCTCGTTCAAGCTATTGAGATAGATGTGAAATGAGGCATTTTGAAAATCTTTGGCGGAATTTGGGTTTTAATTGGATTAGCCTGCAACGGCGAGTATTGCATACTTCTATGAACATTTCGACAGAAAGGTGGTTTCTGCGAAAGTTGTGGTATGATAGCGTGGAGCACTTTTCACAACGCACACAGTTTCAAAAAAATAGAAA